CAGCAGTTGATCCAAATACTCGAGACCGAAGGCCTCGACACTGCGTTCGGCTGACAAAGTAGGCCTTCCCTTCCCGTACCAATTGGGCCACACTTTGGTTACGACAAACAACTCCTCCCTCCGCACTTTGCCCGCACTGATGGCCGTCCGCAACGCCTGTCCGATCTCCGCCTCGTTCTCGTAGAAGTGCGCGCAATCAAAGTGTCGATAGCCGGCGTCGATGGCCGCGGCCACGACTTCCCCCACTTTCCCGGGTTCCGCTTGATATGTACCCAACCCGACGATCGGCATTCGCGTGCCGTCGTTCAACAGCACCGATGGCACAGACATGTTGTGGCGAACAAAAGGAGTGATGGAAAGGGAGTGAGAGAAGAGTTGCTCTGAAATCTGCGTCAAACTCAAGGCCTGTTTGTTGGGCTCTTCTCTCTGCGAGAAAGCCATAAATTAATGTCAAAATTCTTTCCATTGTCTGCTCAGACAGACATCCGCTAAACCTTGAGTTTAGCCCAACTCGTGGCAATCACTCCTTGCCCTCCCTTTCCACTTGACAAGTGCGGCATTGAGTGCACTCTCCGTTTGACTCCAGTAATGATCGCACAAAACATCTACTCTTTTGAATGTTATCCAAGTTTATAGCTTTGCAGGTATTATAGGTATTACAGTATTACACGTCCAAAAAACAACTCCACTCAAGACTCTCTCTCTCTCTCCCTCTCTCTCTCTCTCTCTCTCGAGCGGTCTCAACGCCATGGCGTCCATCATTTGGGACGACTACGCCAAACAGGCGCTCACTTGCATTCCCAGCCGTTGGGGCGTCTATGCGACCAAACTCTTGGCCGTCGGCATCGGCTTACCATCGACAAGAATTTGGTTCATTTCGACATTTGCCACAATTTGGAGAAACTGTTGCCAAAGAGTTGGCGCCAATTCCATGAGAAAGACACCGAAAAAACGGACCTCAAAGACCACACCAAGTACTTCGTGGTGGCCGCCGATGACATCCATTTACCCGCCAAACCACAGAACGGATCAAATAATACTTTTGTATAATTTATTAATTTTGTAAATATTGACAGTTTTTGTAAATCTTTATATTTAATTGTATTTCCTATGAATTGCTGTTTAATGAATTCATTGATCTATAGAAACATATTTGACATCAACTTTGAAATAAGTATCACTTATTTTTGATGCAATAATTAGTTTATATTGACGTCAATCACAATCAAACGCTATTTTCATACATAATAGTAACGGATATTTCAATTATTTCAATAAATATTTATACAACAAAATTGAGTTCAATGTTTGAGAGCATTCATTTATGTCTTGTTTTTTCCGTTCATTTATTTCAATATCATATCATATCAATTATAGAAATTGATTTCAATGACTTCTTCAGTTGCCATTCATATATCATTTTGTGTTCATTTTATTTAATTATGTCTCAAATCTATTTGAAGTTTTTTGATGGGTTTTGTGTTCATTTTGAGTAAATACCTATTAATTTGCAATAAATTTGAATTACAGTAAAGTTTAGTGTATATTCTGTGCCTAAAAAAGTCAGTAATTTTCTATAAAACTTAAGATTAGTTATAAACTATTGAAAAACTGTCCAAATATTAGACATATTTGTATTAATTTTCATGTTAATGAACTAAATTGGCCTTAATTGTGAAATATTGCTTCCAATTGAATACAATTCCCTTTATCTATGAGTTGCAGACAAACAATGCCCGCAATAAGTCGTGTATCACTTTTGACAATCAACTGAAATACGATATCATTTATATTTGAAAGACACTAAAACTTTCGACAAAACATTTCTGAAATTTTCAGTGGATTTAAATATTTTACTTATAATCAGAAATTGTGATTCAGAAGAAGTCTTTGTCTAAAAACTAAATTCTTAAAAGTTTACTGTTTTTATCAGACGACTCGCCGGTAATCGCATTACTTGTGAGAAAATACAGAAACTGTTTGAGACTTTGAAGACAGTAGGACTGGAAGCGCACGAGTATTGTATTCAGGGTTTGACAGCAAATAAACATTTTTTGGTATTAATCTCTTAAGAAATATAACTTCTCTTTTTGTATATTTTATTCACTGCAATAAACATTCACATAATAAATGATAGTTTATATGATAGTTAATGCCTATAACAGTACAGTACAGTAGTTCTCGATAATAAGCTGCATATTTGAACGAAAGCCACATTTAGTGGTGAAACAAATCTATCAAAACTTGAATATCTGTTGCAAACATTGCGTGAATTACTTCTGAAACATTAAAAAACCCAAAATTAATACATTCGTTGAGTAAATCTCGATGTATTAGTTGAATAAAAATGCAAAAATAAACAAAATGGAAATATTTTAATGAAATAAAGCACAAAATGATTGCACTGTAAGAAAGTTATGTAAAAATAGGATTGTTTTGTGCCTGAAGAGACGTTGATGGATCACTCGCTTTGTTAATGATTAGTAATTCAATTCAAAACTATTTAAACAGTTTGTAAATTAATTCTTATCTCCACTTTAAAGCCTCATAAGTTTTTTATTCACCAAATGATAAGCAAAACTCATTTCGCATTCAATAAACATTTTAATTCCCATCAAATATAATGAGATTAGAGTCGAGGGTAAAAAAGTTGTTTTGCAAATACGGTATTTAATTCCTCATAATTTCTATACTGTATTACTATTTAAGCCCTGAATTCCTTTGAGATGTCATTAATTCCTATAATACCGTAAATACGTTAATAATTGCTGTTTTGAAGAGCGTTTAAAATATGGCTTTTTTAACAACAATTTTAATTCCAGACTCTATTCAAAGCGAAATTAAAACTAATTTTTGGTTTTGTTTTATTGGCATTTTTGGTGTGCCTATAATTAGGGACAACGGTTAGCATACCGGAGCCGACGACACACCACAGCAGTGGTAGTGTGTGTGCGATAAGAGACGCGGACTTATCTGTTATAACAGAAGGACTTCTCTCAGGACTTAATTCATGGCATGACATGAGAGGCGAATATTCTGCAAATAAACTGCAAAATACTGTAAAGACATCTTCACTTTGGGAGTAAATTATGAAATAATAAATTGCATTAAATAAGCGAATACTGTATTTATGTGAGCGATAAGAACCGGGGGGTAAAGGGCGAGAGACAGGGCGTCAGATGCCAGCAATTAAACACCGGTTTGAAACCATACGTCCCGTCAATGCAGTGATTATTGATGAACACCAATAAAATGCTGGTTTTCCAGAAATCCGTAGAAATTAGTCCACAATATTATGAGACCTTTAATTACCAGTGTTTTAGTGGTTATCCCTAAAAATGCTGGTTTTAGGGCATAAGCGCTGATAAACGCCAACATAAAGATATGTTTGCGATATTGAAAACGAGTGATTAGTTTCTTATATAAAACATTCAATTATTTATCGCTTAAAACGTCTCGAAATCCGTGAGAAATGTCTGCAAAAGTACCGACCATTCGACTCAACGATGGAAACCTATGTCCAGTCGTGGGTTTCGGCACTTATGAGACCAAAAAGGCTGACATCTTGACGGCCATAGAGGCCGGCTATCGGCACTTTGACGGCGCAGACTTCTACGGCAATGAGCAGGAGGTGGGCGCTGCGCTCCGGGAGGCCATCGCTGCGGGAAAAGTGCGGCGCGAAGAGCTGTTTGTCGTGTCGAAAGTGTGGCCCAATTGGACCGGCAAAGGGAGGCCTACTTTGAGCGTGAAACGCACGCTCAAGAACCTGGGTCTCGATTACGTGGACCTTCTGCTCATCCATTGGCCGACGCCCTTCAAGCAGGTGGACGACGACTACCATCCCGGAGCCGCCGACGGACAGGTGCTGTTCGACGAGAGCATCGAGTTGTACGACATATGGCGCGAGTTCGAGGACATCAAAAGCGCCGGTATTTCAATGTTTGCCAAAGAGATTAGTTTTTTTTGTTTGAACGCAAAGACAAATAGTTTTGTTTGCCTTCAGGTCTGACAAAATCGATCGGAGTTTCAAACTTCAATTCGCAGCAAATCCAAGAACTCATTGACAACTCGAAGACGGTTCCGGCGGTCCTCCAGGTTGAGTCGCACCCGTACTTCAACAACGACCGGTTGCGGCGATGGTGTCAAGAGAAAGGCGTGCGAATGACGGCGTATTCGCCGCTCGCCAGCACCGGACCCAATCTCAACCAATCGCTGCCCAAACCCATAGACCTGCCGCTGTTCAAGGAGTTGGCCAACAAGTACGGCGTGAGTGCGGCGGCCATTATATTCCGGTGGCAGACGCAGAGAGGGGTGATTGTGATCCCCAAGAGCTCCACCAAAGAGCGCATCCAATCAAACATCAATATCTTTCACTTCGTTCTGACGGCCGACGAGCTTCTGGCCATCGATGGCATTGACAACAACTACAGGTGTCATCCGTGGAATCATTGGGGGATCTCTAAGCACAAGAGATATCCGTTTGGAATTCCCTTCTGAAGAGGATTTCGTTTTTATGTGTTTTTTAGGAATTTAAAGATTTTATTTCTGTTAAAAACACTTCTATAGAAGTATTTGAATGAAAAATAAAAACTCTAATAATGTATGACTTAATAAGGAATTAACGGAAAGTTTCGAAATAATTACTATTAAATCATCGCTTAATTAATGTGTGAATAATAATAGAGTTTTATTTCATTAAAATAGCGAATAATATGTGAATTAAAGCCAAGTCTTAAGCGTTTCTTCAATACTGGAAATCGTGTGTAAAAAACAAACTTTTCTTTCTTTCTTTTCCACAAAACCACTAAAAAAGCTTCTCATAAATTATTTCGAGAGAGGAATGCGAGAGAGAGAGAGAGGAGAGAGAGAGGAGAGAGAGAGAGGAGAGAGAGAGAGAGATTTGGAGAGAGGGCTTCTAAATGACTTTGATTTTGATAAATATTTTATAGTTAACTCATATAAAGAAAGCAAATTGTTTAATGATCTAAAACACTAAGTTATAAAACAACTCTGCAGTAGACTTTGTT